TCTGCAAATTTGAGAAATAGTTAGCCCTTTCCTCCGCCGCGTTGCTTAGCCTGCTTGAAGTCGGCCACGAGAAGTAAGAAGCCGCTGTGAACTCGCAGTGTTGACCGGTTGATCCAAACTGATGCATTGTTGCTCCAGTAATCACAAAAAAAAATCTCGACTTTTTTTTTTCGTGTTCTTGAGCAATCACATCTACACAAGTAATAAGAAGAAACTAAGGAAGAGTGATTAGAGAAAAATATCCAATCTGGGCACAAACATCGGAATCTGAAGGCTATTGATGCAGAGAACACACATAGTGATCGGAGAAATGATGTTTAGTGGATTTACCTGATTGTATAAAAAAACCCAAATTAGTCAATTTTCAAACTGCGAATTCGAAAGTTGTGATTTTTTTCCTGCAACTGTGTAAATCGTAGTCGAAGAAGTAAACTAGCAGCGACCATAAGTCCACTCGAAAGCCACTTTGTTGAATCTTGTTAGTTCGATGGCACAGGAAAGAGTAAAGTAACGACCTTTTTCTTCTCCTTTTTTTAGTTTAGAAAAAAAAATCACATTTCTGTTTAAAAAACCAAAAAAGATTTATGGGCATAGTTTAAGAAAGTTTTCAACTTTTTCGTAGGAAAAAAGCGCTTTTGGTCGTATTTAATTATGTCTTAGTGGATTCATGTCAGAAACCTTATAATCTCTGATTCTGATTTAGATCTTGTTGGTGACAATTTTTAGTTGATTATCACTACACCAAGTTTTGGGCTTTATTTAGGCCCATTAATCATTTGCCTTGTACAATGATCGATTGTGTTTGATTTCTTTGTGCTTCTATAATACCAGTGTTCTAAAAAACGTTCTAGGCGTTCGACTAGACAGCGTTTAGACGCTAGGTCCCTTTAAACCGTGGCGATTAGCGTTTATGTCGTCTAAAATATTATGGTATTATACTAATAAAATAATATACTTTTTCTTATATATAAATCGTAATATTCTATATATTTTGGTACAGTATAAATACAATATAATTTTTTTTATTTATAAATTATGTTTTTTATATATATTTTACTATATATATTTAATATATTATGTATTTTTGTAAAACGTTTAGACCGCCTATTAAATCGCCTAGGCTCCGATTAGACGTTCTAGGCACTAGGCGTTGGATCACCGTCCGCTTAGCGCCTAGCGCTTTATTTAACATTGTATAATACTCTTAACAAAAGAATTGACATATTTTTTCTATAAATAACAAACAAAAAGAAGAAGCTTAATGATCATGTCTGTTTTGACGGAATTATCCAACATGATTATATGGAAGCAGCACTTTGGTAGGATGTCTTGTTAACTTCTCAATAAACCATATATTTCAGAGGAAAAAAAAACTTTTATGATTTAAAGTTTAAAAGATGCATAAACAATTGAAACTTATAACCAAAGAAACCAAAAAGGAACAAAGTGAAACTAAAACCTAATCAAGGAGAGAGATAGAGATGAGCAAAGTCATCTAAAGACTCCAGTATGTGACTCTGATCTCCATTTTCGAGCATCCAAAGAAGATGGTCGAACAAAACAACTTCACACTTCACCGTGATGACACAGCTTCCATCTTCATTATCATCTTCTTCGTATCTCTGTTGCTTCTCAACGAGAGCGTTGAGCAGAGGATGCTTCAAGTGTTGCTTACTGATCACGTAAGGTTTCTTCGTACGTCCGACCAACACTGTCTGGTACAAAGAAGACTGTGTAGAAGAGGTTTGGTCGACGTCATGGAGATGGTCCTGTGGATCTCTTCTTGCGGATTGGGACCTGAGACTTGTGTAAGAATAAGAACGACCCAATCGTGTTGAAACGCTTTTGCATCTCCTAAGTATCATCATCAACCTCATTTTTTTCATCATTTGATTCAAGAATCTATTCGAGCTTCTCTCTCTATTTTGTTTTGCTGCTTGAAGAAGATACTTGAAACACTCAGAAAGAGAGTAAGGGTAATAAAAGAGTAGCGAGAAGGGAGGTGCTACGTCTCAATTCTTTAACTATTCAATTTATAATTAGGGTTTTACTTGGTTGCTAATTTCTTCACTTAATTTATAAACATCAAGACTACTTTTCCTTCAGGTATACGTCGGCTTAGGGAAAAACAAAAACTCAAATATTAATAATATTTCTATAAAGTTCTATCATCTTAACCCACCAAAAGTAGTATATGATGATGAATTGCAACTATAGAGAACGTGTCGGCAAAAGAGAAACGAAGAAGCACAAGTAAGCCAACACGAAAGACTGGAATGAGACACGTCGAACCTGTCTCCCTTATACATCGTCGCATGCCGACTCGTGATCCTTAAACACTAAAAATGGCGAAGAACAAAGACGACATACACTACGCAACGGCTCAAGCCAAGCTATCGGAAGACGAGCCAATTCGGGTAAGATACAAACACGGTACACCATTAGAGGGAGGGAAGATCGCAGAGTCCGAGCCAGTAGACCTCTTCTCAAGCGCTCAAAATGTTGAAAAGGGGAAAGATCAGCCATCCTCTGCAGCAACAGGCGACCAAACACAGATTCACCGTAACGTGAAAGACATCACCACCGGATAGCGTACGGATGATAGTCCCCGTTAAAATTACAGTTTGATGTCAAGTTCTATATCCGTATGTATCTGTTTGCTTTCTAAATAAAAGGGTTATAGATAACGTTTGATCAATCCTCAAGCCTCTTAAACCCGTTCTATCATCAAACCATAAACCCATTTACTTCATTCTACCAGTAGAATCTAATAAACAGAACATATTGCAAAAAGTAAAAACTGTGTAGAAGGTGACTCTTGAGATAATCAGTGACAAACCTCTGCTTTATAAACCAAGTTCTACACAAAGTTTGGAAACTCAATACAAAAAAAACACATAAAAGGTTCGAAGTCGATACTCAATTCAAGAAACTAGAAATGTATTATTATTACAGAGATTTGTGATAAGGTCTGAGTGACTCTACTTGGATCTCTGTCTCATCTTTCGACGTTTCCTCTTGAGTCTTCTCATACGCTTCTTCTTCCACTGCCAAAATGTTCAACCACGAACCATAAACATTAGATCCATTTGTATTTCATTCAATCAAAAACAAGCAATAACAGTATCAAAGAATTGGAGAATTTATGAAAGAATCATCAATCTTATCTATTAGCGAACGTCGTCAATCTTATCTTATCGATCACCATCTAAGCAAAGCAAATACTCACTACTCGTTCAAACTCTACACCAAATTTTCTCAGATAAAAAGCACAAATGAGAATCTAATCATCGTAGATTTGATCTCTATATCGACAAGGAAATCTATAGAGCAGGAACAAGATCGTAAACTGTAGATCCAAGAACAACAAATCGTGCACGAAAGTAGCAGATTACAGAGGCGATTATGATGATCGTACCTTGGCTCTCATCGTGAAATCGCCGAACTCAGATTCTGGCTCTGTCTGTTCACCGATCTTCTTCTTCTTCACTCCCACTAAATATATAGTTAGCTAGGGTTTCCTCGTTTTTCCTTTACCTTTTGACAAGGCCCATATATTTTAAATGGGCCTAAACCTCACATTAAGGCCCATGGAAAAAGAAGAAGGAGATATATGATGAGATTGAGAAGACAAACAAAAGTGATGCTTGCTTGCTTCTCTTACCCATCCCCACATAATATACTTCCATTTGTATTTTTGTTGCTTTCTCTGCACTTTTAAATTTAATACTTATTTTACTATTGAATGTCGCATTTGGTTCACTGTAACGAACAGCTAAGAGACCCCCTCAAGCTGCCCTCTCTTTTTTTCTGCAACCAATCTATGTATGTCCCCTTCTTCCATTC